ATGTTAAAAATTCATCAATCGATTACTAGGGGCTGTTATTTTTACTGGTGCTATCCCATTCAGTTCCGTAGTACCCTTCACTTCAGAAAAAGTTACGTAGTAACCGTCCTCAAAACCATGAATAGCATTCTCCAAGCATGTGACATCACCTGTTTCTCTATCTACATGTTCGATGAGGACCTGAAAATATAAGCGAGTATAAACAAAGGATGACCATTACAGTGTACAAATCATGCAAAATACAACCGATAAACAATTCGCGGTATCAAAACCATAAATCAATAAACAAAAATTCTTTATTCATACCTCCTTACACTGTTCACCGTTAGGATCATCAATACGGAAATTTTCTCCAAAATCTGTAAAAATATATGCAAAAAGACCCCTTGCGTCAGCCACCAATAAGCAGCTTTTATTAGATCTTGTCCACTCATTAATCTCCAGTTGTTGGCGCAATGATGTATCAGTCAAAATCACCAACTACAACATTTTAAAACGAGAAATAAATCCGTGACTTGCGAAAAGATGAGGGTTAAAAACAAAAATTCTAGCAGAAAAATAAACCGATAAAAGTTCAAAAAATATTTCACAGAAAACCTTTTGTTTTAGTTCTTTTTCCAAATATCAAACTAAAAGTTTACATTTGAGTTTCACAAAAGAGAAGCCGTGAAAACCAAGATCGAAAACGTACTTGAAATTGTTTAACAAATTCTTTAGTAAGCGGCTCTGTGGATAAGCTGCATGTCACACTATCATTTAGTTCAGCTAAACGTTGGAAACTAGCAGCCGCACGATTTTTGCCTACATCTTCCTCCCGCAAATAGAACTAAAAATAAGAGACTTTATGAGGTAAAAAGTCATTAAAAACACTATGTGACTTAAAAAGTTGTTCTAAAAAAATTTTTCCTTCCCAAGAAAAAAAATAAATCAAAATAAAAAAATTGATGACGTAAAGGTCGCGAAAAAATTCCGTCACCTGAGCACTGAGATCCCGCCAAGTTGTGCAACGTGTATCATGAATAGTGACCCTTCGAATACCTCCAAGTATGAGGTTCTTTGCTATTTCAGCACCAACTGATCCAAGTCCAGATATTAACACCGAAGCTGCTCTAAGGTGCCTCATAGCAGATTCGCCCAAAGCATATCTAAAAAACTGATAAAAAGATATTTGATACATCGTTTGGAGCACCAAAAATTGACAAATAACAAAATGCTTCACATTTTCAAACTCCTTACATTTGCCTTGAATAAAGGTTGGTATCTAGAGTAACAGTGTCACCAGTCTCATCACCATTCGCATCAAGATTTCTCCCGTTAGTATGATTATCGATTTCCATTGGAGATTGATTAACAGTAGGTTTTGTAGTAGACTAAAACTGCACTCTGATATAATGCCGGACACGCAATATCCTTTAGGAACTACACTTATTTTCTCAGCATGGACCATTATGAAGTGAAGCTAATAATGAATGAGAAAAATGTACCGTACTGCTTTCGACAGGTTCAACTATACGACTTTTTTTAGCAGGAGGTTCGGCAATTGTAGATTCAACTGTCACGTTTTTTGCAGCTCCCGATGAACTCATCAAGCGCAAGCTAAAAATAAATTTGTAAAATTCTCTACAAAGGACATGCAAAAAATCTACAAACCATATCCGTTGGTATACCACCAAAAACCCTTCAAATTCTAGCAGCTCTTGAGAATAAACATTCAGAGCTTTTCACATAACCAGCGATCTGTCGCACTTCTCTCCACTGAATGAAAAATACAAAGTCAGAGCTCTCACCCTACCAATAAATCATTCACCAGACAGTGACCTCAGCAGCAAGAAATTGTATAAGCAAGACACAAGAGGCGGTCGAAAAAAGTATGACAACAAACCCCCCAGAAAAATTGGTCACCTAAAAACACCCTCAGCCATTGAACGAAACTTTCGGTTTTTAATCGAGAAATGTCAGCGTTCGCAGTGCGAAGCTCTAATCAATTAAGAACCTCAAAATTAGCCCGTAGAATTTGGTATACGTAGCTGATATTAACATGTGAATACTCCAGTTAAAATTTATACACTTTGTACCAATTATACAACTAATTTACCAGAAGGTTCTGACCTCAAGCGAGCCTTCTTTAAAACCCTGAAGACGCTGCATACACCCCTCAAGCTAACTTGCACAATGAAATCGGTAAAAAAAAGATAATGACCAAACCTAACGCAGTCCTTTGAAAAAAAACCACAGCCTCCACCAGCGACCTACGACACAAACATAATCAGAATGAAAAGTTAACCTGGTGACACTAGTTACTTTCACAGACCGCAGCGTACTTACCTAGAAAAGCTTCCTCCACCACTTTGTTACAACTATCTTTAAAGGCCCTCCAAAAACCATATCTTAATACTCAAATCACCGGTTTCATAACAAGAAAAAAAAATTTCTGGTGATTGAAGACCCAAACAACAACGATACAATGTTTCATTCTGTCAAAACATTCTCCTCAGGACTAAAAAGCGTCCAGTTAAACCTGGCCACTATCGCCTTTTTGAAATAATTTCATTTTTACAGCCTGCCAAAAAAAAAAAAAAAAA